TCGGTCATTGGGTACCGATCTAGTTCAGGAGGCCTTGGATAAGGTCAAGATCATTCAGGATAGGCTTCATTCAGTTCAGTCGCGGCAAAAGAGTTATGCAGATCGTAAAGTTCGGGATGTAGCTTCCATGGTTGGTGAGCGGGTCTTGCTCCGAGTGTCGCCTATGAAGGGCGTGATGAGATTTGCGAAGAAGGGCAAGCTTATCCCTAGGTTCATCGGTCCATTTGAGATTCTTGATCATGTGGGAGAGGTGGCTTAGAGACTTGCATTGCCGCCTAGCTTATCAGCCGTGCATCCAGTTTTTCATGAACCCATGCTTCGGAGGTATCACGGCGATCCAGCCCACGTGTTAGATTCCAACTCTGTCCAGTTGGACAAGTATCTGTCTTATGAGGAGGAGCCGGTGGCTATTCTAGACCGGCAGGTTCGACAGTTGAGGTCGAAGAGTTTCCTTCAGTGCGTGTCCAGTGAAGAGGTCAGCCTCCTGAGGCATCGACCTGGGAGTTCGTGTCTGATATGCGGAGCCGCTATCCTCATCTATTTCCCGACTCAGGTACTTCTTTCGTTTGTCCGTTCGAGGACGAACGGTTATTTTAGAGGTGGAGAATGTGACGACCCTAAAGGGTCATCACCGGATTTCTCTCTTTTTCCGTGCTTCCGAGGCCTTGAAGACCTCACCTTTAGTTGCCTCGATTTGTGTGCGTAGTCCGGGCGCGTAGCCGGAAAGATTATATGTTAAATTCTGTGAAAAAAAAAATTCAAAATGTGGCTTTAGAATGATTAAAGTTGTCTTCGGTCAACATTTTTGGTAAACGGACCCGGACCTGTGATTTGACGGTCCCGGAGGGTCCGTAGAAGAATATGGGACTCGGGCATGTGCCCGGAGTGGAAATCCGAGGTCTAGAACCCGAGGAAAAGAATTTTTCTGTGAAATTATTTTTCTGGAATTATTAAGGAAATGGAAATGAAAATTGATTAAAAGACTATGATATCGGGCTCGTATTTTGGTTCCGACGCCCGGAACAAGTCTTAAATATGTGTTAAGCGCTTTCTGTAAAGTTTGGTCGAAATCGGGCGTCATTTGCAATGTGCTGAACTAGAAACTCTAAACTTGATGTTTTATGGAAATTTGGAAGAAAATCATGGGTCTTGAGGCCTAATTTGATGATTTATGATGTTGTTTGGGCGATTTGATCGCACGGATGAGTCCATAATATGTTTTTGAGTTTATATGTATGTTCGGTTTGGAGCCCCGAGGGCTCGGGTGAGTTTTGAGTAGGTCCCGGGAGGTCTTAGGCTTAGAAATAGCAGATGGTTGCAGGTTCAGGGGCTGCAGGCCCCAGCGCGCCCGCGGTCGACTCCGCGCGGTCGACTCCGCGCGGTCCGCGCTGGAAGCCGCGCGGCCGCGGTGCATTTCTGCGCGGTCCGCGTGGCTAGGTTCAGAGGGCCAGTAGTCCTAGGTCGCCCAGCGCGGCCGCGTGCCATATCAGCGCGGTCCGCGCTGGGAGATTCAGAGAGTGGGAATTTTGGTCCATTCCTCCAGCGCGGCCGCGCACCAAATCAGTGCGGTCCGCGCTGGGTGGGTTCAAAGAGGGTCATTTCCAGTCCCTCAGTGCGGTCGCGGTGCACTTTTGCGTGGTCCGCGCTGAGCCTCCAGTAGGGTATAAAAGGTCGGGATTTTTAGTTATCTTTCACTTTTTCAAAACCCAAAACATAAGAGGCGATTTTCCAAACGATTTTTCTTCTTCAAAACGATTGGTAAGTGATTTCTAACTTATTTTCTTTACTCCTTAACATCTTTAAACATATTTTCAAACTTCAAAACAAAGATTTTAATGGGGAAATTGGGAATTTAGGGTAGAACCTAGGTTTTCTAAAATTGGGGGTTTTAGACCTCAATTCGAGGTCCGATTCTAAAATAACTTACATATTTGAGTTCATGGGGGAATGGGTAATCGGGTTTTGGTTCGAACCTCGGGTTTTGACCACGGGGCCAGGGGGCATTTTTGACCTTTTGTGGTAAACTGATGAAAAAGCTATAATTAGACATTGGGTTTGATTTGTTTAGCATATATTGATATTATGAAGTCATTATTGTATAGATTTGATTGAGTTGGGGCCGAATTCGAGAGGGAAAGCAGTTGTTGTGGATTGATTTGGCCGTGGAAGTCCAGGTAAGTGTTTGGTCTAACTTTGGCTTGAGGGAATAGGAGTAGAGTCTTATTTGCTACTTGCTAATTGTCGAGTACGATGTATAGGCATGGTGACGAGTATCTATACATTGGTGTCTAGCATGACCGTGGGTCCTATATTGTGATTTCCATAACTTTCTTGTATTATTCATGCCTTGGTGATTATTTCTATTCGTTGTGCAATGATGTGGAAAGAATCGTGACTTATGGATATTGAGGAGCGTTGGCTCCAGTCGTATAGCGAATTGCGAAAGTATAAGTGATAATTGAACCTCTAGAGCATTGGCTCGAGTTGTGAAGTGAATTGTGAAGTAAAAGTGAGGAGAGAAAAGATCATTATGTTGTCCCTTGGTGGGCCATTGTCGAATTGTGGTTCCCTAATACTATGTTCTTAATTGATATTACGGACGCTTAGGTTAATGTTTCCTTGTGTTGAGTGATGACTATAGTTATAGTTGAGGTAGTTAAGTGTTGTCATAGGTTGGTTATAGCTGAGGTAGTTAAGTGTTGTGATAGGTTGGTTATAGCTGAGGTAGTTTGGTGTAGCAACAAGTTTGATTGTAGTTGTGGTAGTTAGAGTTGTAATAGGATTGATCATAGTTGTGGTAGATAGGTGTCGTCACTGGATTGATTATAGTTGTGGCAGTTAGATGTTGTAACGGGATCGGTTGTAGCTGCGGTAGTTAGATGTTGGGACCAGTGCGGTTATAGATGTTTCTCCCTTGCTGGGACATTTGATTTGACATTTTGTTCCCTTGCCGGGAAGTTATTATGTTGTTGTTCCCTTGCCGGGAAGTTATACATTGTTGTCCCCCAGCCGGGATCATTTTGTTATATTGTGATTGATGAAATGGGAGCGTGTGGTACGCCTACCCCGTAGTATTATGAATGGGATCGTGTGGTACGCCTACCACGTGATATTTGAGGATCGGGTTGCACGCCGCAACAATGATATTTGAGGATCGGGTTGCACGCCGCAACAATGATATTTGAGGATCGGGTTGCACGCCGCAACGATGATATTTGAGGATCGGGTTGCACGCCGCAACAATGATATTTGAGGATCGGGTTGCATGCCGCAACGATGATATTTGAGGATCGGGTCGCACGCCGCAACAATTATATTTATGGATCGGGTTGCAAGCCGCAACAATGATATTATGGATCGGGTTGCACGCCGCAACAATGGTATATTAGGATCGGGTTGTACGCCGCAACAGTGTTGTTATATATTAGGATCGGGTTGTACGCCGCAACAGTTGTTGATCCAAGTGTGTTTATTTTGGATATTCGTTTCTTGGTTCGCTGTAAATTCTTGGGCTGTTTCTATCTTTATATTGAGGTTTCATATTTGTAACTGTTGCCTCCCCACACCATGTCCCTCCCTTCCTTATTGACTATTTATTTCCTGTATTTCTTTCCGTTGTATATATACATAGTTGAACTGCACTGGTTTATCTGGTAGTCTGGTCCTAGCCTCGTCACTACTTCATCGAGGTTAGGCTAGGTACTTACCAGCACATGGGGTCGCTTGTGCTGATACTAAATTCTGTGCTCTTTTGCACAGGTATTGGACAGCATCAGTAGTTGGAGGGCTTCCTTCAGTCCACCCGGAGACCCAAGGTAGACCTGCAGGCGTTCGGGGGCCCTGGCGTCTGCCTCTATCTTCATTCACTGTATCATTATCTTTTGTTCAGAGATAGTTTATTGTATATTTCTTCAGACCTTGTATGTAGTAGATCTTAGATAGTCTGTGACACTGTGACACCAGTTCTTGGGTAGAGACTTATGTTGTACTTCTGAATTTTTATTCAGCTTCTTTAATTTAAGACTTCCGCTTAGTTATTAAATTCTATCGTTTGCATGCGATTGCTGATATTTGTTAAAAAGGGTAATTAAGGTTTGGCTTGTCTAGCTCCCACTAGTAGGCGCCATCACGACTCCCGAGGGTGGGAATTTCGGGTCGTGACATCCGCACAGGCTTGATTCAAGCCATTCAACAGTCATGTCAGTTTACTGGTGATGTGAGTGAAGATCCTCACACCCATTTAATTGATTTTCTTGAATTAGTTAAAACTTGTAGGTATAATGGAGTCGCAACATATGCTATCAGGTTGCGGCTTTTTCCTTTTTCATTAAAAGGTGAAGCCAAAACATGGTTGCGAAGTCTACCAAGAGGTTCCATTACAACATGAGACCAAATGACCCAAAAATTTCTTAATAAATATTTTTCACCTGCAAAAACATTTAAAATGAAGCAAGAAATCAATAATTTTATGCAGACAGATTTTGAATCTGTATGCCAGGCATGGGAAAAATTAGCAGCAATGCTAAGAAAATGCCCACATCACGGTATCCAAGACCCTGACATTTTATATATTTTCTATCACAGTCTTAAACCCTCTGCTAGAAATGTAATTGATGCAGCATCAGGAGGATCAATAATGGAAAAAACTACTACACAAGAAATGCAATTGCTTAATGAACTTTCGAAAAATGTTGTTCAATGGCCCTCAGACAGAATGATTATAAAAAAACGGCAGGAGTAAATCAAGTTGAAGGTTTGAATTCATTGACACAACAAATTGCGACTTTAACACAAAAAGTGCAGGTTTTTCAGGTAGGTGCTCACTCATCATCCCAACTTGAGAATTGTGATGTTTGTCAAGGTAATCATCCGAATCATGAATGTCAAGCTTCAACGAAAAATGAAGAACAGGGACCGCCTGGTTTTCAAAATCAAAATAGAGGGCAACAAAATTTTCAACAATATCAGCAGCAGCTCATCAACAAAGCCTTGAAGACCTGATGCATAAATTCATTAAGGCTACTGACGAGAAGGTTGAAAGTCAACATTCAGCTATCAAGAATTTGGAAATTCAGGTAAGCCAATTAGCAACCCTCATATCTGGACAAATTCAAGGTGCTCTACCAAGCAACACTGAGAAAAATCCAAAAGAACACCTCAAAGTTATCTCTCTACGATCAGTTAAATCTCTTGATGATCCATATGCAGATAGAGAAGGAAAGCCACACGAAGTGAAAAAGGTAAACGAAGGTGAGAATAAAATAGAATCTAAGTTTCCAAAAGAACAAAAGGATAAAAGGAAAAATGTACTAGAAAATGAATTGCTAAAAAATCCTCACTCTGTACCTCTCCCTTTTCCCCAAAAGATGAAAAAAGAAAAGCTTGACAAACAATTTCAAAGTTTCTAGATATTTTGAAGCAACTTTACATTAACATACCTTTCACAGATGCTTTGACGCAAATGCCTTCATATGCTAAATTTCTCAAAGAAATTTTGTCGAGCAAAAGAAAATTGGAAGAAGTTTCAGTGGTTAAGATTACAGAAAAATGTAGTGCTATACTTCAAAATAAGCTTCCTCAGAAACTTGGTGATCCGGGAAGTTTTACAATTCCTTGTATCGTGGGAGGTACTCACTTTGAAAAGGCGTTATGTGATTCAGGTGCTTCAATAAATCTATTGCCTTTTTCAATTTTTAGGAAATTAGAACTTTGTGAAATGAAAGATACTGGTGTGTCTCTTCAATTAGCTGATCAAAGTACTAAGAGACCAAAAGGAATTATTGAAAATATCCTTGTCAGAGTTGACAAATTTGTATTCCCAATAGATTTTATAGTGCTTGAAATGGAAGAAAATACTGAGGTACCATTAATTTTAGGTAGACCCTCTCTCGCAACAGGGAGAGCAATTATTGATGTTCATCAAGGACAACTAATTTTGCTAGTTGATGAGGAAAGAGTAATTTTTGACATGCAGAAAATGATGAAATATCCTGGGGATGAGTCATCAGTACCTTGTTTCAAATTGACTTACTAGATGACCTTGTAGAAGAATACAAAGATAATCAGTTAATTACTGATTCATTGGAAAGATGTCTAGTCAGGTCAGGTACCACAAGTGATGAAAATGCCACAATCAGAGAAGAAGCGGAAACATTGGAAAGAATCAGAAAATGAGAAAGTCTCACAAGAAGAAGTGCAATCAAAAATTGAACTCAAAAATCTTCCTTCTCATTTAAAATATGTTTTTCTTGAACCTGAATTAATTCCAGTAATCATTTCATCTTCTTTGACTCCAGAACAGGAATACAAACTGATAGAAGTCTTGAGGAAACATAAAAGAGCTTTAGGGTGGACTATAACTGACATCAAAGGAATCAATCCAGCTATTTGTATGCATAGGATCCTCATGGAAGAAAATTACAAACCGATAGTCCAACCACAAAGGAGACTGAATCTAGCAATGCAAGAAGTTGTCAAGAAAGAAGTGGTAAAACTTCTAGCGGCAGGTATCATTTATCCAATATCTGATAGCCCTTGGGTAAGTCCTGTAAAGATAGTACCAAAGAAAGGAGGTATGACCGTAATAAAAAATAAAAAATAATGAACTCATACCTACTAGAACAGTCACAGGATGGAGAGTCTGTATTGATTACAGACGACTTAATGATGCCACGAGGAAACATCATTTTCCTTTGCCTTTTATTGACCAAATGCTTGAAAGAATTGCAGGCCATAATTTTTATTGTTTTCTAGATGGATATTCTGGTATAATCAGATACCAATTGCTCCAGAAGATCAAGAGAAAACCACATTCACATGCCCCCAAGGTACGTATGCTTACCGAAGAATGCCATTTGGACTATGCAATGCTCCTGCTACATTTCAGCATTGCATGTCTGCAATTTTCTCAGATATGACTGAAAAGTTTCCTGAAATATTTATAGATGATTTCACACTTTTTGGTAAGACATTTGAAGACTGTCTCTATCATTTAACTTTGGTGCTTAAAAGATGTGAAGAGACAAATTTACTTCTTAAGTGGGAAAAATGTCATTTCATGGTAACGAAGGGAATTGTTTTAGGACATAAAATCACTGCTAAAGGAATAGAAGTTGATAAGACTAAAATTGATCTTATAGCAGGATTGCCCCCTCCCACCACTGTTAAAGGTATTAGAAGTTTCTTAGGGCATGCATGTTTTTACAGAAGGTTTATAAAAGACTTTTCAAAAATTTCAAAACCTCTAACTAACCTACTGATGAAAGATGTGAAGTTTGAATTTTCAGATGACTGCAGAAAAGCATTTGAGTTTCTCAAAGAACAATTGACTAATGCTCCAATTGTTATCTCTCCTGATTGGAGCCAGCCATTTGAAATAATGTGTGATGCAAGTGATATAGCAGTAGGAGAAATATTGGGACAAAAGAAAAATAAGATCTTTAGACCCATATACTATGCCAGCAGAACCCTCAATGAAGCTCAAATGAATTATGCAACAACCGAGAAAGAGTTACTGGCAGTAGTCTATGCGTTTGACAAATTTCGTTCTTATTTGATAGGAACGAAGGTTACAGTGTTCACTGATCATGCAGCATTAAAGTATCTATTAGCAAAGAAAGACGCTAGACCTAGATTGCTAAGATGGATACGCTTTTTGCAAGAATTTGATCTCGAAATAAAAGATAGAAAAGGTTCAGAAAATCAGGTAGCTGATCATTTGTCACGTTTAGAGAATCCTCTTACTGAAATACTAGATATCCAAGAGGAATTTCCTGATGAGCATAACTTTTCAGTCGCGGCGGTTGTAAATAAACCGCCTTGGTTTGCTGATATTGCCAATTATTTAGCAGGGGGTGGATTCCAAAAGATTTGTCTTACGATCAAAGAAAAAAGCTTAAAAAAGAGGCAAAACATTATTATTGGGAAGATCCTTATTTGTTTAAATTTTGTGCAGATGACATAATCAAGAGATGTGTACCTGAAACAGAAATGAATAACATTATAAGTCACTGCCATGATGGAGCTGTGGGAGGACACTACGGAGGAAGAAGGACAACGGCTAAAGTACTTGAAGTTGGTTTTTTCTGGCTTACTTTGTTCAAAGATGCAAAAAAAAAATTTGCTGCTTGAGACCAATGTCAAAGAACCGGTAACATTTCAAAAAGGGATGAAATGCCTCTTAACTCTATTATTGTGTGTGAAATATTTGATGTTCGGTGCATTAACTTCATGGTTCCTTTTCCTCCTTCAAATGGTTGCGAATATATTTTAGTAGCTGTTGATTATATCTCAAAATGGGTAGAAGCAATTGCTACTAAAAAATGATGCTCGAGTTGTTTGCGATTTTCTCAAGAAAAATATCTTTTCAAGATTTGGAACTCCACGAGTTATCATAAGTGATCAAGGAACTCATTTATAAATAGACAATTTGCTGCTTTGTTGTCAAGATATGGAGTTACTCATAAAACAGGAACTCTATATCATGCTCAAACAAGCGGACAAGTAGAAGTATCCAACAGAGAATTAAAAAGAATTTTAGAAAAAATTATTGGCTCTTCTCGAAAAGGACTGGTCTCTAAAATTAGATGATGCTTTGTGGGCTTACAGAACTGCTTTCAAAACTCCAATAGGCACATCTCCTTATAGACTAGTTTTTGAAAAAGCTTGTCATTTACCTGTGGAATTAGAAAATAAAGCATATTGGGCTATAAAATTGTTGAATCTAAACTTGCCAGATGCAGGTAAAAATCGTCTATTGCAGCTTGATGAGTTGGAAGAGTTCAGACTTACAGCATACGAAAATGCTAAATTATATAAGGAAAAGACAAAAAAATGGCATGACAAGCTCATCCGCCATAAAGATTTTAAAGTTGGAGACCAAGTTCTGTTGTACAACAGCCGATTGAGATTATTTCCAGGAAAGTTTAAGTCACGCTGGACAGGACCGTATACTGTAACAAAAATTACCCCCTATGGTGCCATTGAAATACAACGTAGAGATGGGGGAGATAAATCCAAAGTAAACGGTCATCGTTTGAAGTTGTCACGATCCTAGTTCACCCTCCATGAACATGTCGTGATGGCACCTAGTTCCTACAACTAGGTAAGCCTAACAGTGCGAAATAACAAATTAAAACTGAACATACGGAAATAACAACTGTATATAAGGCCACTCAGCCTATACAACTCAAAATATGCGGAAGTCTGTAACTAAATCCCAAAACCCGGAAACTCACGGGAAACACAGGCTAATAGAATGTAGTAAACTGCTCTACACCAGAATGTCTAAACAACATGAAAGGAAAGAGAAGGAACTATCTGCTAAAGCCGGAATAGAGTAGAGACTCCTGGTCTGCGAACATAGCAGATATACCTCAAGTCTCAGCTAGGACTCTCCACCACGAGGATGATATGTCTGGGAGGAAGTACCTGGATCTGCACATGAAAAACATGCGCAGGAAGGGCATGAGTACACCACAGCGGTACTCAGTAAGTGCCAAGCCTAACCTTGGTTGGGTAGTGACGAGGAAGGTCAGGGCCCTACTGAGGTAACATAATAAATAATGAGATAACAGAAATGGTTTAAATAAAGTCTACAGCGAGAATCTAAACCAGGTAAATATGGAAGAACAGTAATAGAAAGCAAAGGTAACAATACACGAAAAACTGCCCTCACAAGGAATAGTAGCCGGGGGATCTCTTGGTATCCCGAGGATCTCTTGGTATCCTCATCATCAACACTGGGGATTTCTCGGTATCCCGAGGATCTCTTAGTATCCTCAATAAGTAAGTCGGGGATCTCTTAGTATCCCGAAGATCTCTTGGTATCCTCAATAAGCAAACCGGGGATCTCTTGGTATCCCAACATATATATAGAAACACATGTGCCAGGGATCTCTTGGTATCCCGCACCCTCAGTCCAGAATATCTCAAGTACAGAGGGATCTCCCGGGAAGCCGTCCCGTAGTCCCAAATTAAACACACAACAATAACGATTCCCAAATCTCGGAACAATGCTAAAAATCAGGACACGAAGTAGTAAATTATAGCCTAACATGCTTCACAGAGTACAAATAGCACAGTTAAAGCAAATAAGCAGGTAAGCCAGCTAAACACGAGTCTCTAAGCTAGCACAAGTACAAACTTACAGTTAAAATGAACAAGTAAACAAGAAAGCTCAATTTAAATACTTCAAGTAGAAACGGATTTACAACAATTAGCTCAAGTACGAGCTCGTCACCTCACGTACGGGGCATTCAAATATTAAAGATCATATCCTAAGGGAAAAAGGTCCCTCACACAAAGTTAGACAAGCCACTTACCTCGAACCGGCTCAATATCAACTAGAAATCACGCTCTTGCCACGAGTATCCGACTCCAAATGGACCAAACCTATTTAATTCAATTACACATTGTAAATAACATCGCAAACACCTGGTTTTGATAATAAATTCAAAGCTACAGCGTAAAATTAGGTGAAATGACCAAAATACCCTCCAGGCCAACGCCCCGAAATCGAATAATTTTCACATTTTCAGAACCCTCGTACTCTCACGAGTCTAACCATATAAAAATCTCCCAAATCGGAGGTCAATTGCCCACTCAAAACTCAATAATTAGGTCTATGAAGTTTCTTCCAATTTTTGATCCTAAATTCGAATTCCAATGGTGTATTTAACTATAAAATGATGAAATATAACAAGAAGGGACCAAAGAAACATTACCCAGTGATCTTCACTTCAAATCCCACTCAGAATCGCCTTAAACCGAGCTCTCAATTGGTTTTTGCAACTTATGAACTCAAACCCTTGACATCTCTATTTCTGTCCAGGGGTTTCCGTTTCTGCGGACAAGGGACCGCTTCTGCGGTCCCGCTTCTGCGGACCACGAGACGCTTTAGCGGTTCTTCATTAAAGTCAAGATTTCCGCTTCTGCGGCCCTTCACCGCACCTGCGGTTGCCGCTTATGCGGATTCATTACCGCTTCTGCGGTTTCAAACAAAATTCCAAGGACCGCATCTGCGACTACCATCTCGCAGGTGCGTAACCGCTTCTGCGGTTAAACTTCCGCACCTGCGGAAACTGAAGAAGCACTCGAATTTTGCTCCTGCTGTGGTCTAGCCGCTTCTGCGGCTCCGCTTCTGCGCTTCCCAAGCCGCAGAAGCGGAAATACCAGATGACAGAACCTTCAGCAATTCATTCAACTTCAAAATTTTTCGTCAACCACCCGAAATCATCCCGAGGCCCCCGGGACCTCAACCAAAAGCACCAATACCACATAATACCTTATTCGAACTTGTACCAATCCTTAAAACACCTAAAACAACGCCGAAAACCCGAATTAATCAAAGATTCAAGTCTAAGAACCTCAAATTCCAACCAAACACGCTTTCGATAAAAAACCTAACCAAACCTCGTCCGAATGACCTGAAATTGTGCACACACATCCCAAATGACATGACGGAACTACTGCAACTTCCGGAATTCCAATCCGACCCTCGGATCAAAAATTCACTATCGAACCGGAAACTTCAAAAATTCAAACTTCGGCATTTCAAGCCTAAATGAGCTACGAGCTCCCAAAATACATTCCGAACACGCTCCCAACCCCGAAATCACCTAACGGAGCTAACGGAACCATCAGATTTCCATTCCGAGGTCGTCTTCATACTGTTCTGACTACGGACCACTTTTCAACACTTTAGCTCTCATTTAGGGTCTAAGTGTCCCAAAGCTTTCCAAAACTCAACACCGAACGTCCCGGCAGACCAAAATAGCAAAAATAAACTTAGGGGAAACAGTTAATGGGGGATCGGGGCGTAATTTCCAAAAACGACCGGCCGGGTCGTTACATCCTCCTACACTTAAACATTCGTTCGTCCTCGAACGAGCATAGAGAACATACCTGAAGTAGTGAAAAGATGAGGGTACTGGCTGCGCATATCCTGCTCGGTCTCCCAAGTCGCCTCCTCGGCCGGCTGACCCCGCCACTGAACTTTTACTGAAGCTATGTTCTTTGACCTCAACTTTCTGATCTGCCTGTCCAAAATAGCCACTGGCTCCTCAACATAGGATAGATCCTTGTCCAACTGGACTGAACTGAAATCCAACACGTGCGACGGATCACCGTGATACCTCCGGAGCATCGAAACATGAAATACCGGATGAACTCCAGCCAAACTGGGAGGTAGGGCAAGCTCATAGGCAACCTCCCCAACTCGCCTCAAGATCTCAAAAGGGCCAATAAACCTCGGACTCAGCTTCCCTTTCTTTCCAAACCTCATGACGCCTTTCATAGGCGAGACCCGAAGCAGAATATATGAAACATCACGAACCTTCCTGTCCGCGTAACTCTTCTGTCTAGACTGGGCTGTATGGAGTCTGTCCTGAATCACCTTGACCTTCTCCAGTGCATCCTGAACCATCTCTATACCCAATAGCCTGGCCTCACCCGGCTCAAACCAACCCACCGGAGATCTACATCTCCTACCATATAAAGCCTCATACGGCGCCATCTGAATGCTGGACTGATAACTGTTGTTATAAGCAAACTCCGCCAATGGCAAGAAATGATCCCAAGATCCCCCAAACTCAATCACGCACGCACGGAGCATGTCCTCAAGAATCTGAATGGTGCACTCGGACTGTCCGTCCGTCTGGGGGTGAAATGCTGTGCTCAACTCCACCCGAGTGCCTAACTCCTGCTGCACAGCTCTCCAGAACCGCGATGTAAACTGAGTACCTCTGTCTGAAATGATAGAAACTGGAATACCATGCAAACGGACGGTCTCCCTGATATAAATCTCCGCCAACCGCTCCGATGAATAAGTGGTACACACAGGAATGAAATGAGCGGACTTGGTCAGCCGGTCCACAATAACCCAAATGGAATCAAACTTCTTCAAGGTCTGTGGAAGTCCAGATACAAAATCCATGGTGATGCGCTCCCATTTCCACTCCGGAATCTCTATCTGCTGGAGCAACCCACCCGGGCGCTGGTGCTCATACTTCACCTGCTGGCAGTTAAGGCATCTAGACACATAACCAACTATATCCTTCTTCATCCGCCTCCACTAGTAGTGCTGCCTCAGGTCCTGATACATCTTCGCGGCACCCGGATGGATGGAATAC